TTCAGGACAATGTGGTGACAAATTATGTATCTTTCACCCTGCATTGCTCTCATACTCTGCAGACCAAAGTAATTTGGTGATATGGGAGAAACAATGTCTTGCAGATTAAATCCATTTAATCTCAGGTTTTCAATATTACCAACTTTCTTACCAAAACTGGTTTCTTAGGCAGTTCACAGCAGTGTGTACCCTTGTGCTCGCTCACTCTCCACCCAAGGCTTTAAGTTATGTTGTCCGTGGCTATGCTGCCTTAAGCAACACTGACTCCCACATGGTCCTGCTCTTGAGTCAGCAAAACACTTCTTAGAGCAGCCTGAGGCTAACCTGCAGACTTTCAGCTGAGGAGCTGTCAAGAGATGCTTCCACCAGGGAGCAGATACTTGGAACAAAGTTTTTGAAGCAGGTTAGAGTAAGAAATGTCAGGAAGGACCAAAAAAAGTACGACAAGAAAATTCTGAATCCTTTTTTTTTTTTTTTTTTAATATGGAAGTCTTCCTCCTGACATGTGAAGCTGGCTGGAAGATTTCTGCTTCCCAGCATATCTGGCTAAAAAAAAATTAAATCTTACTGTGTAGTCTGTTTGAGCATTTACCTAATACATGTTCTAATGAGATTCTGGTTTATTACTTGCCTTAACTTTACCAAACACATGGCTAACAACAATAGAAGGTAATAAACATGGTAAAACCTACATTTTTTAGTCTTAGGCACCAATCTGTAACTTATATATAGGGGTATTAACATCTCAATTTCAAGAGTTAATTGAATTGCATAATTCTGTTTCAGAGTTGCATGACTCCCCATTTTTCTTTCTGGCAATAATCTGAAGAAACATCCTATGGCACATTGTTTTGAAGGCGGTTTAGGATGTTCTTTTATTGAAGCTATAATTTAATGAGATTCAGAAGCACATTAAATTTGTGCACAAATGAAATACTGTATTGAAGGGAGTGGACCTAGATCAGTGTTTAAAAGCCCTCTAGAATCACCTCTTATGGCCCTTACGGGGAAGGGAATTTGTACCTTTGTCTTCTCCAACTTTCTATGTCCTTGGGCAGCAGTGCAGAGCAGATCATGGCAAGTCAGTCAGAGGGACAAGCACCCTCATTCTTTGATATAACAAGACAATTTATTAATAGCCCAGGGAACAGAGGAACCCCATGTCTTAGAGAGGGTCAAGAAGCCAAACAGCTCCTGCCAGCTATGATCAACAGGAGAAAAGTTCCCTCCCAATCCCAGGTTGGACTCTGGGTTTACCCTTGTTTATCTGAGCTCCTCAAACACAAGAATGTCTGTCTTCTTCAGCCATCGGAGTTTACATGACTCATCTCCAGTGCTGCATATTGCGATGTGTCTGGAGGACCTCCTCCACTTGTCTCCCACAGATGCTCTGGGATCTTGCTGAACTGGAACATTTGAAAATTGTTGATGGTAGAAGGAAGGGATCTACTAACTTCGGCTTTCTAAAATGATACTGTTAGCAGACTTAAATTAAGCATATGTGCAGAAGCCTTTTGCATTTTTTTGAATAAAATCAGACTAAAAAATACTTATGCATTCTCAGGAGAATAAAAAACAAGTGAACAAACAGTATAAGGGGCAAAAAGAAATGCTAACATATAGATGACTTGCCTGGTTAGCCATTGTGAATAGCTGCAACAAAAGTGGTAATCCAAGAAGGCACTGGACGATGTGGAGCACTCAGTGGGAATTGCTGAGAACCTGATGCATTGCATGGATTGCATACATTTGTGCCCCACAGGACACTGAAAAAACTGCTTTTCACAGTCACAGGGGTTGTAAACTGGACTTTACTGATGGTTAAATATGTAAGGGTGTCTAGGGTGACTCAGAAGCTCCAGAGCATTCAGACCCAAAGAGAACTTGCACATCAGTTGAAGTACAGGCTCATTTTTGCTAGATCTTCAAAACTTACTTGTTTAAACTGGAGGGGTTTTTTTGTTGTGGGCTGGTTTTTTTCTTGTTGTTTTTTGTGGAACTTTGAACTAGGAGGCAGAAGCAGTGTAAATTTATTGCAAATGAGAAGTAATCCAGCTTTCTTTTAGTCTCTCCTAGGTACTAACTCTCCAGCTGTCCAAAGATTTAGACTCACATAGATTTGATTTCCTATCCTCTGGGCGTAAGAGAAAGGCAACAAGGTGAGACGAATGGACTCAAATATCTCTTAGAAATCAAACAGTCTCTGAAGCAGAGACACAGAAGTAAAACAAAATGTACTTTTACTTCAGGGTATTTCTCTATACTAGGGGTTTTTTCTTTTCATTGTGGTCCCTCATTTCCCCACCCAGACAAAATGCAGCCATGACAACATGGAAATCCCCTGAGCAGCATAGTTCTGATAATAAGATTGTTCAGGTTAAACAAAAATATTATGTCTGAAAAGACTTGTTCTTTTAGTTTGCTCCAACTGAAACAGGAAAAAATGAAAAAAAAAAAAAGATCAAAGTGATAGCCCTGTCAATTATAAACAAGACAAATTTAAAGTGCAAAGGTGACATTTCTGGATAACGATCAATTTGTACAGGACAACCCTACTATAACAACATTTCTGGCTGAAAATGAGGTAGAAATTAGCCTGAGGAATTCTAGACTAATATGACATTGAAGATTATTATGCCAGGTGCTGAAATTCTTAACTAAACTTTTAAAAAGCAAGAAAGGGATGGCCCTTAAGGATGTGAAGACACCAGAACCCAGTCTCACCAAATGAAGTTTGGCTGCAATGAGCTTGGGCCAAACACAGAAAACTCAGGAGAGAGAGATGAGAACAAAGTACTGCTAAAGTCCCACCAGCTGACTCAGAAGGAGGCTATTTCTTGAAGGGATAAAGTGAATTTGACTGTGGCACAAGTTATTCTGTAAGTGAAGTCAAGCTCTTGCATGAGGGTCAGTCAGGCCATGGTGGTGCCATCTTCAGTGGCTCCATGGCCCCCTCACCATGTCCAGCTCCTGCTCTGCTTTGTGTGGGTCATCACTGTGGCCTGGCAGGTCCCTATCCTGTTCATGGGTTGGAGATATTGTAAAGGTCAGCCAAGCAGATATCTACCTCTGCCTCACCTTGGGCTCTTTTTGAATTCAGTGGAGAGAAATAAATGTATTTTGAGTTTTGTATTTTGTCTTTTGAATGTCAATATTAGGATAAGATGAATCATGCTCTTCACTGGCCAGCGAGCAGCAAAGCATGAAAAGCTCTGACATAGCAGTATAGGCTGTAAATGCCTAGGCACTGGCCAGTGAATCAAAACCCACCCTTCTGTATCTACCTAGGCTTAGTGCACCCTCAGGGAATGCTTTGGTGGGGAGCCCCAGGATCCTATCACAAGGAGGGCCTTGACACAGATATTGGAGATACCCATGAACTCTTGTGGAAAGGAGGCCATTCCTTCCCATTAACACAGTGCAGGGGAGCCCAGAAACAACACCTTGACTACCCACTGCCCCCTGCTCAGGGGAGCAAGTGACACTGCAGGATAGTCCTTGATGTCCTGGCAGGAAGAACACTTTTCTAGACATGATGCCTGAGCTTTCACCACTTTGGTGAACATGTAAAATTATTTCCTTGCAAATGAAAGAGCTGATGTGGCTTGCATGTTGAGCCTCCTTCTTATAGTGTCATCATTTTTCTGTTCGCTCGTGCATTGTTACCAACTTTGCCCTCAGTTTCCTTTATGCCTCCAACCTAAAGCTTTTTTTGGTGCAGCCAGGTCTGTGCCAGAGTTTGCTCTTCTGTTTCAGTTCTTCAGCTCACTTGTAGTTAGCCACATCAGTCAGCTCTGTGCACGGCCCTGCTTTATGCTCTAGTGTGCGTTGGTGTATACAGCCACAGAAAGTGTGCAAAGGAAATATTTAACACCTCTTTATCTTTCACTTTCTGACTGTGTTTTGTCCAAAGCCTGAAAAAATGTGAGATGTGGCACTTTGTTCTTAGGAGGCAGGTTTTGCAGGATTAGTCTTATAAATCACAGCTTTTCTGGGTCAGCATTGCCTTACGCAGGACTTCACAGTATCACACAGAAGGGTTTGGGTGAAAGGGACCTTCGGAGAATACCTAGTTTCAACCCCCCAGACATGGGCAGGGACACCTTCCACTAGACCACATTACTCAAAGCCCCATTTGACCTGGCCTTGAACACTTCCAGGAATGGGGCAACCTCAACTTCTCTGGGCAACCTGTGCCAGTGTCTCACCACCCTCACAGTATGGAATTTCTTCTCTATGTTTAATCTAAATCTATTCCTTTTTAGTTTAAATCTGTTGCCCCCTGTCCTGTCTCTACAAGTCCTGGTAATTAATTTCTCTCCATCTTTCTTATAAGCATCTTTTATATATTGAAAGGCCACAATAAAGTCTCCCTGGAGCCTTCTCTTCTCCAGGCACAGAAGAGGTGTTCCAGTGGTCTTATCATCTTAATGGCTCTCCTCTGGACTTGCTGCAGCATGTCTATATCCTTCTTATGTTGGGGACCCCAGAGCTGAATGCAATTCTCCAGGTGGTGTCTCACAAGAGCAAAAAATCCCCTCCCTTGACCTACTGCCCGTGATGTTTTTGATGCCAATAGTTAAAGAACAAACAAAAGCACTCATACCTAGTGGACCAGTGCACCTCTCTTGAGAAGAAAGTGGATACAACGAGTAAACTATGCTTTCATGAAAACCAGCAGCACAAACCACACTTGCCAAATCAGGAGCACCATCCATGAAATGTGCTCCAGCCCCACTGGACTTTACCAGGTTTGCTCCAATGAGTCCATGGACCTGATACAGAAGGTCCTTAGTTTTGAAGTGGGAAGGCTGTTTCAAAGTAAAAGCTCAGCAATTATCTTCGTGCTGGTTTCCTGCCCTCTGCCACCAGCCATCCTCTGCGTGGGCATGTTTACGTTTCCCTTCGCCTGAGGTCTCTCTGTCAGGCAATGGGTTTGCTCAGCGGGCGGGTATAAAGGCGGCAGGCGCGGGTTTCACACATACATGCACTGCACACATGCAGCGTGCTCAGAATGACACAGCCCAGTACAGTGCTGAGCATTTTCGCCATGTTTCTTCACACCACTTTTGGGGAAAGTGGTTGTACCTCAGCAGACGGTGATGGTGAGTCATTTCATCTTCATCTTTCCACTCATCTATGATCTTGAAAAACCTACCAGTTAAGATCTCCAAAATGCAGCTGCTGTGTTAAAAATGTTTGGGTTTTAACTTCAAGTCTCTCTATTAGTGCCAGTACCTAAGGTGGAGGTAGAGCTGGAGGTTGCCTATTCAATTTAATCCCCTAAAGTGCTGTCCTTGTTATGTCCAAATCCATATGAAATGAGGGAGACCACAACTGTGTGCAGAGGTCATGCAGCATCAGACCTGTTATTGCTCTCTCATTTTAACTAGTGTTCATGTGAATAATTATACCTGGGAGCAGGAAACCACCCTTCTTCAGCCCATGGTCACTCTTAGCTGCCATTGGAGAGGGGTGAAGTTCTGGCTTCTTTTGCTGTTCACAGTTTCTGCCAAATAAAATGTTTCAATGTAACTCAAACTTGACCCAAACTGTTCCACTTCAAAAGCCAAACTTACTTTTTCTGGAAGCAGTTGCATCAAGTCTATCTGGGGGATAGTCCCAGTCTCCCTGGTAGTAAGGTTGACGTAGCAACCCCACTAAGGGGTTCTCACAGCCCATCACTAACAGCAAATAATTCTAAATTAATCAACAGTTTAAATTTAGGCTTATTGAAGATTTCATGATCTCATTTAGAGAAGTGAAAATTATTTAGCAGCATCAAGATTAAAAATAAAAACATAAAGAGCATCAATAAAGCCACAGTTTCAGTCAGTCTGCTGTTCCTTTTCTCCAGAGGGAGTTGAAAAATTTGACTTGCAAATTCAGTCTCAGATCTGTTATTCTTACTTGTCTAATACTAAACAAACAGCAGTGGTAGAGTTTGTTGTACTGTGCCTGAAGGACATGGGCAGTTGCTCAGTTACTGGTAGGTTAGGGCTCCATTGTTCAGCCACAAAAGAGGTTTTGGTTTTTGGGAAGAGGATGGCTTTGTCCCTATGCTGTCTCACAGTTAAGGAGTCTCATCTGAGACTGTGCGTGATGTGTTGTAACGTGTGTATGTACACAGTTGTCCATACATGTGTATATACATGATATGCATCCTAAGGTTTTTAATTAAAAGAAAACAGGGACTGGCTCAGAACTGCATCTAACCAACTTGGGTCTTTTATTTGCCTTTTATTCATACAATATGCAGCTGTCTAAAGCCAGTTTTGACAAGCAGCTATGGCGATGAATGTTTAATGCTAGTGATTTATCATTGGTGTCACTGAAATCTTAAGGGCTTCCCAAAAGCAGATATGATCAGAACTTTGTTTTCTTTGTCACTAACTTCAGTAAATCAATTTCCTCAGAATTAGAGACAATCAGATTGCAGAAAATCCTCACTATACAATTAGCAGCTTGTATGATTTCTTTATGAATCTCCTGGATTTGGCCAACAAATTAAGCAATCCAGAATACAATCACCCAGGTGCTGTACCTCTGCCTAGCAGAAGTGGTGGAGGAACCCAAAAGCCCTGAGAGAACTACAGGCAGGGCTAAGAAGGGGCAGCCAGGGAGGTGCAGGAGGGCATGGGCTGGGGAAGCAGGAGGCAGCAGGCTGTGGGGTCTCATGAGCAGGTTGTTTGGCTTCAGTGGTCCTTCTATCCACACCTGTGTGGTTTCTCCAACCCACATCAAAACCGTTGTGATTAAAATAAGTTCTGCCTGAATCACATAAGCACTACAGATCTCACATTGCTCTGTCTATGGAGATAGTCACTTCACTGACTTTGGAAATCTGGACACTGACTCTTCAGTGCTTAGCAGTGCCTTTGGCTTTGCATGTTATTGTTAGTCTTGGCGGCTTTAGAGCTTGAAATAGAAGCAAGTCTATAGCATCTGCTAACACCCTTCTCTTGGTAAAGGCTTCTGAGGTTCCTGCTGCAGTTTAAATCATCCTGCTGGATGTTGTCCTAACCCAACAGAGAACCATGGTGATATAAAAAGAGATAACCAGTGGTATAAGAGTCCTCCCCAAGTCCTGCCTTGATTTCATCAGAGCCAGGCTCATGGTGATGCTTGGTCTGATATTATAATCTTGCAAATGTTTAATTGATTGAAGAGTCCTTAGCAGTATGAGTCATGTCAGAATCATCAAACATAGGAAATACGTTTGTGCCTGGTAGTTGTGAGGTTTAGGGAAGAAGTGTGACTGAAGCTACGTGCATGCTTATGTCAGAAAAAAGAATTAGTCAGACCATGGAAAACCACAGCAGAAAAAGCATTTCAAATTGCTTACTTAACACTATAAATGAGGATTAATTATCATATGTTCTATGGTTATGATGTTATTTCCATGAATAAGGAACCATGTAATCACAATGTGAAAGTTCAGAGTCAAAGAGGTAAAGTCAGCTTTCCTTCCAGTGCACCAGCAAAGCTGCACTGTGCTGGTTAAACCTTAAATGCCTCTTTGAACTGCAAGACTAAACCTTTTCTTTCTTTTCATTTTGCAATCAGCCTGATGGAGAATGAATTCAAATTTTTGTGACTTTTCAGTAAAGCAGTAATGAAAACTGAAGGAGTTTTTTATGATATGCCATTTATTAATAGGATGATGATCAGTTTTGTGTGTTTATGCAAAGTCTGATATATGTAGTTTTCATATACAGAGAGCACCAAGCAGTCTTATATAAAGAAAGATTAGTCATCCTAGTCCATAAGTTTTAGTATTGCCTTGAGTATAAACCAGTAAGTCCCCTGGCAGTTGCAAGTAAAATCTTGGAGAGGCTTAAAATGCTGCACATCTGTGCACGCCAGCTTTGGGTGCATATATCTCTGTAAAATATGGGGTTTTTTTCCATTTTGCATAGATTCATTTCGGCTTATTTGTTATCCACCTAATTCTGAATACATGTGTGTTTATATGCCTACACTTTTACCCACAAATATGCAGCTGTAGATGCTACAAGTTTCTGTACATGTATGCCTGCCCGTATGACTCAGGGCTGCATTGGACAAGACCATCACCTGTGTGAAACTGCTGCAGGGCTTGTTCTAGAGTTGCACCTCTCTCTCTTGAACATGATGGTTGAACAGAGCAGCTTTGTACAGAACCTGCTTTGTGCATGCACAGGTTTTCCCCTCAAAGCAGCAACATTGCTGGAAGACACTGCATTTCATTATCCGTCAGGAAGATCTGTGCTCCCACAGCTGTGGTGAGAAGACCAGTAAAAATTTCTTAGCACTTCTTGCTCATGGTGATGAATGGTCACTAAATCTTAGCCCATGGGGGATAGATCTGCCTGTGGGTTCTGGATTAGTGCAGCACCAGATGCTCCCATCCCTCCTGCTGCCCACCACAGCTGCTGGTGGAAATGATCCCCTTCCTAGCCTCTGCTTGCACTGGTTCTCTGTGTTTCTCTGCATTCCAGACTGACTTTCAAATTTCTTCTCTTACTCAAAATCCAACTCCAGATGCAGATCAGCTCAAAGGCCAGGAAGAAGCACTGTTGATAGTGATGGTCTTGACTTTTATTTTACTTTTTTAACGTTATTTTATTTTACTTTTTTACATTTTTACATTTACTTTTACTTTACATTTTAAGACGATCAAACAAGTCTCCTCTGCTTCCTCCCTGCTGACAAGCTATGACCCTTTAGGATCTTCAGATGTGCTCCTATGCTGGAGAAGGTCTGGGTCTCCCTGCACACTGACAATATTGGTCAGGGTTAATGCGACATCACCATCAGGACTCTGAATCACAGTATCCAAGTTACTGGTCACCACTCAGTGATCCAAGTGGGTTACAGCACCATTATTTTCTCCTGAAGTGATTTTTCATTGGAAATGTTTCAAGGGGCATTTCCCTGCTCTGTGAGTGTGAGTCACTGATATCCCCAAAGCAGATAGGACAGGGGGGAACAGTTTTAAACTAAAAAAAGGAGAGATTTAGATCAGATGTTAGGAAGAAACTATTTTCTGAGATCACAGTGAGGCACTGGAGCAAGCTGCCCAGAGAAGTTGTGGATGTCCCATTCCTGGGAGTCTTCAAGGCCAATTTGGATGGGTTCCTGAGCAACCTGATCTAGTGGGTGTCATCCCTGCCCATGGTGGGTGGGCTGGAACTAGGTGATCTTTAAGATCTCATCCAACTCAAACCATTCTTGGATTCTGTGATTCTTTTCTCGCTGCATCAGGTGTCTTGGATGGCAAGGCCATATCTGAGGGATGGGTAGCAATGGACTGAGCATGGGATCGAGGATAGTCCCTGGACACAGGGAAGTGGTTTGTGTATCATCACAGCTACCCTGAACCATTGGTGAATGGAGAC